ATTCGTGCTGTATCATATTTTTCCTGTAAAGACAATCGTAGTTTTAGTGAAGTTGAGGTTTTATTAAAATTCTACTAAGCGTTGAGACGTCACATGTGAACCTGTGGAACATTGTTTTTTTTTTTTGCTTTTTGAGTATGGTTTTTGCTAATTATCAAAATTTGAACTAGAAGTGCAAAATTACAACCTGAATCTTTTCTTGGAAAGATTGAATCCAACTGTTAGGTGTTTCATCGGCAAACATCTTAAGCTTTTCTTTAATAATGCGCAAAGATGCAGCTTCTTGGTTTTCATGAATACGGCTGAAACCTTCGTCGGTGACGCCGCCTTTACTTCGCTGTAAGAATATTTGAAAATTCTTAAAATATAGAAACTAAATTTTGCATCATTTTTTTTTGTTTTGAAGAACTTACCAACTCGAAAAGCTGTTGTAAGTTTGCTACAGTACATGTTGCACCACGTTTTGACAGATCCTGAAAAACGGCTTACAGTAAAAGCGACATAGCTGTTATTCTTCAAATAACAGCGAAACCGCAAAAGTAGAAGAATTGGCTCACAGCAGTAGGCCAACAAAGGTTCTGGCTCACTCGTGCTTAAATCCAGTTTCAGATATCTTATAAAAACTTATCATTAATCACTAAACGAATATGTGAGAAATTTGCATTTGAGGTATCAAACTAGCTTTTTGAGCGTGCTTTTGAAAACATTACATTTTTAGATGTTTCGTACAGTATGAAATAGGAAAAGTGCTTCATAGGCAGATTGGTAATTTCAAAATTGTTGGAATTTCTATAATCAAGCAAAGATATTTTGTTTCCTATTTTTTGTTTATTCTTTTGTTTTTTTAATACGAAGAACGTATGGCGAGTTGCCAGCAAGAAATTAGTAGAAAGAAATAAAATTTTGCTAAAAAAGCTTGCAGTTTGGATTAGTTTACTGTAGTAATTACAGCAGTTGGTAACCAGATCACCAAGTTTTCGAGCTTTCCCGAACTGTTGCATTAAAGTAGACTTCACTATTCTGTGCCGTTGCTGAAACCTGTTGTTTTTTAAAAACTTAGTTAGCTTTCCAAATAAATTTTTATACTTAGCAAACTCGACAAAAAAACAGAAAGTTTCTTTTTTAACATTTACTTTGCTGTACTTTCTCGCGCTGAACTCAAAACTCATTATAGAAAGAATCTCTAAAAAAAAAAAAAAAACCTTCATGTGATCTTCGAGTTTTTGATAATAACTCTTATAAGCTTCGCAGTTTGCATTGTTTGACCAATTCTCAAATTTCATTAAGACATTCCGCTCTGCAAGATCATGAAGTTTGTCCAATTCATGTTGTAATTCAGTATCATCGTTATAATCAATCATATTCGTGCGCTAAGAAAAGACCAACGATTAGTACAAAAATTTTAAAAGAATTTTTGGGAGGCTCTAATATTTTACAGAGAAAAATTGAAAGCGTTTTAATAAAGCCAAAAATTTTTTGTTTTTTACCATTTTGTACAATTCATCCAGGTTCGCTTTAGGTGATGCTTCTCTATGGTTTCTCAGAAACTGAAACAATTGTTTCTTATAAAGGATATTTTTTTATATTTAATAAAAACTATCAACGTCTTTAAAATTTAAATAAAGTTACTTCAACCTATAAAACTGGAGTTCGAGCGCTTGCAAAGGCTGTTAAGCATACATATTTTTGATGCTAAAAGCTTTAAAAATTATTGAGTAAAAGTTGAAAGGTACCGTGTCGATTTCATTGTCGTAAGTTTCTGTGCATTCCAAGTAAACAGTATCCAAAACAACCTCGCCAGATACCTTCAAAAAATTATTTTATTCAAATTTTTAGTATTACAATTGAGAGAAGATTTTTCAAAGTTCCAAAAGGTAAAATAACAAATTTAATGTCGTTAACCTCAAACAGTGCTTTTGGTGGGGGAGTGGCACTTGAGTTGAATAGTCTGGCGTACTTCTAAACAGTTTAGCTATTAGCTGCTAATAGCTAAACAATTGTGATTACGACAAAAGAAATTGTCAGATGTTTAACTTACAATAAAAAAAGCGCATAACTCTTGGCAGGTTAACTCACGACGAAGTATTTCTTTTGCACCCAGAAACCTTCCAAAACATAATTCTTCTGCTAGTGCTCTAGTCATTTCCAAAAAGTCTTCTTCAATAGCTAAAAAAAGTGAAAAAAATGCGTGTCTTTGAAGTTACAAGATAATAAAAATTACTTAATGAATTGGACATCTGCGCAGCTTTAGCGACCGAACGGCCTGGATGTGGCATTAAAAAACAGGAGCAGGACTCAAAGCACTCTTCTATTTTCTTGCAGGTTCTTTGAACCTCTTTTGATCCACTCTGTAGAAGAACCTTGCCTTTAAGATAAACATAGTGCAAAACTAAGCTTTTTGACTGTAGTTGAAGGCAATAATTAAAATAAAGGAATAAAAATCAACACTTAAAGTATCTGTTTCTGTAAAAAATAGTTAACAAAACGCCGAAGACGACGAATACATTGGTAAATGAGCGCAAATAAGCCTCTCCTCCTTTAAATCCACATTCATAATCTTCTTCGCAAGACCAGTCCCGTACCAAGTACAAAAGATTCTAGAAACTGTGCGCCATGCAATTTTGAAATAAAATCATTCCTAATTTTAAAACAGTGTTAAGAATAACCAGTAATTTAGAGAACCTGAAATGGTTTTGCTTTTTCTTTTTTTGTTGCGTATGATCCATATTTTCCAAATATTTCAACATGCTTTAAGAAGTCAAGCTGAAGCTTTTCTTTAAGATTGTAAATCTAAATTAGCAAACGCAATTAAGAATAAGAAACCATCATCAAAAATTGAACATTTTTTACAAAAATGTTATTATGCTTTCAAAGTGCACTACATCAATCTTCAAAAAAAGATGCCGAACCTTTGCCTCCCTACAAAAACCAAGTAGCAACTTACGAAAAACAGCCACTATTTCAAAAATCTACTTGAAGAGAAGATAGTAAGCTTGATAAGCTGAAAATTTTTGCGCAGTCTTCTAGTGTAGAGTCTGCATCAAAAAAGCCTTCGGTATCCATCAATAAAACAGCTAATTCTTCATCTTCTTCATTTTTGAATAAGAAAGGTTTTGACCACAAAGCAATGCCCGAAGTCTCCCTCCTTGCTCCTAGAGAAAGCAATTGTCAAATACCGTTCTTCTGGCTTCATAAAAACTAGAAGCGTTTCCTTTATTGCGCTTTTGAACAGAAGTATAAACAAACCTCCTCTACACCTAAATCCGAAATTATTAGTTGCCATCGTCATATCTTCTTGCACCCAACGACCTTGCTCAGCTGCGTAAAATGCTTTGAGTATCAAATTCAGTAAAAAACTTTTTCCGGATCGTGAAGGACCAGCAATACTCACTACCATTACCTTAGAAGCAGTAAAATTACAAAAATAATACTTTCATTGCAATGTTTATAAAATTTATTATAAAGAGAAAGATCTCGTGAAACCTATTAGCCTTAAACACGATAGACGAAAAGATTACTCAACAAAATTGTTCAAAAAAACGCTAGTACTACATCAAATATAAGATACCTTCTTGTTTATTATATTCTTAGACTTCAAGATCTTGTTCAACGCTTCTACATCGGGAATCCAAGCTCCGTCTGTTGATTTTTGAATAACAGTGACTGCATGATCATTTTTAGAATCACACTCGTCCATTTAACTAGAGGTTGTTACGCGCTCCTTTTAAAAGAGTAATAAAAATAAAAGCTTCTGTGAATTGTTTGCCTGATCGCAATA